ATTGCCACACGTGTTACATCGTGGGAATGATAGCATCCCAGAACAGCATTCCTCGGAGAGGAATGCGGGGTAGAACAACAGCCAGGTGGCCGCCGAGGCCGAGCGGCATAAACGCTCGACCGAGGACGGAGATACGCGGGTGGGCGGGCCCAGCCGCGGGGTTCTCAGTTCCAACCCCTGACCGAGCCCAAAGGTCAAAAAGGGGGACTCTCGTTGAGAGCCTCCTGAGAGCGAAAGCTTTAGCAGCTGTGTGTCGAAGAGTATACGGAAGTATAGCCGAAGCACCAGTTAGGCCTACGAACGCCTGTTCTAAGGCTTCCTCTCGAACCCTTTTTAACATCCGAGTTCTTTTCTATTTTCGCTTGCCACTAACTCGTCTCAAGCCGAGTTACTGACTCATCTGGTAACAGACGACCGTGAACCGCTGGTTGGTATGTCCCCTCCTTCATGCCAAGAGGTTACTAACCGGGTGGCAGATCACACTGGTACCCTTCGTCAAGCCTCACTCACTTGACTTAGGCTTAACCCGTGTGAACCCTGCTACACGAGGTGTAGCAGGGTTCTCACGGATCCAGTCTTACGTCAAAGGAGTGAAGCTTTGACGGAAGCTATACCGGAAATCTTACTACTGGTTAGGGACCGCTCGGGCATGAAGGAGGGCGTACCGAACCAGAAGGGGTGATGAGATTACTAGCGACGAGACAAGGTAACTCGACCTAGGGGCGAGTTAGCGGGGCGAGCAAAATAGAAAGCAATTCGTGTAACAAAAGGGGTTCGAGAGGAAGCCTTAGAACAGATGTTCGCAGGCCGGGCTGAGACTCTGTCAGGTTGTCTTAGCATACAAGCGTATACTTCAACATCGTCAACATAGTCAACATCGTCATAGCTGCTAAGGTCTTCGCTCTCAGGAGGCTCCCGCAGGGAGTCCCCCTTTTGACCTTGGGTTGGTCGTGGGGTGGATCTGAGAACCCCGCGCGCACGCGTGTCTCCCTCCTTTCCTGGGCCACCGAACTGGCCCGGTACTCGGCGGCCATCTGGCTGTCGATCTACCCCGCATTCCTCCTGAGGAGGAATGCCATTCAAGCATGCCATAATCTTCCACGGGGCCGTTCACGTGGGGATCTTGTAATTCAACCTGTGACTTGGTTTATAGAGATTGGGGGATACCACTACACGAGGTTTTCTCACTCTACGGAGGCTCCCCTTGGGAGTCCCCCCCCCCCCCCCGCCCTCGACGTACCCCAAATCAAAGTGGGGGGAGGGGGGGCGGATTTGAGAACCCCACCTGTGCGCGTGTCTCCATCCTTTCCTGCGGGCCACGATAGCGTCGGCCCTGTACGAAGGTGTAGTGGATTCCCCTTGTAAACTATCATTGAGGCGACACGTGAGAGTCCTTTCCTCACATGCTAAACCAGGGAGGTGAAATGCCCCGCTCGTGACTCGGCATGTGATCCTTAGTCATGCCAACGCTTGTGTGAGTGCCACAGCCTCGGTATATAAGGCTGCGGCCCTTGCTCTGTCCACCGACGCGCCTGCATGGCTGCCTGTTGTATATTCTCCCTTGTATGCCCATATATATATATATATATATATACACGGCACCGTTCACCCACGCGTTGCCCGATCCTACCCAGGGATCACATCGCTGCGTTTCAGGAGGGATGAAGTTCCAATAGCATTCTTTTGATAGAGAATGCGGGGTAGGACAACGTCCCAGGCGGCCCTGCGAGGTTGAGCGGTGCAGGCGCTGACCGAGCATGGGGAGATACGCGAGTGGGCGCGAGCCCGACCCCGGGGTTCTCAGATCCATCCCTTGACCAAGCCCAAAGGTCAAAAGGTGGGGGGAGGGGGGGGGGGGGGGGGGGGTTCCCGTTGGGAACCTCCCGATAGTGAAAGCCTTAGCAGCTGTGTGTCGAAGAGAACACGAAAGTATAGCCGGAGCACCGGTCGAGCTGACGAACACCGGTTCTGAGGCCTCCTCTCGAACCCCTTTTATTTATTCGAGTTTCTTTCTATTTCGCTTGCCACTCACTCGCTTCTAGCCGAGTTACTGACTCCCCCTCTGGAAACGGACGACCGTGAACCGCTGGTAGGTATGTTGTTCCCTCTATTCAAGGCAAGAGGCCACTAACCGGATGGCAGATCACACTGATACCCTTTGTCGAGCCTCACTCACTTGACTTAGGCTTAACCCGTGTGAATCCTGCTACATCGTCAAGCCTCACTCGCTTGACTTGGTCTTAACCCGTGTGAGCCCTACTACAGATCTGGATCGTCAAGTGCTCGGAGGACTACCGACGGATGAGCTCTTTTTTGGCGGAGGAATTATGGGTCCCCGGTGACTTGCCATCTCCTCCCGCCGATGAATCTTGAGGGAGAGGGTCATTCTATGCGAACATTCAGGGCAGACTAAGCATCTCTCTCTCTTTCTCTTTCTCTTTCTCTTTCTCTTTCTCTCTCTCTCTCTCTCTCTGTGCGTGTGCACGCGCCTCTCTTTTCTTCTCGCTTTCTCCCTCGGCCCCTCTCATCGTATGTTGGTTTCAAGGACGGCCGTGCGAGCCCTGCGTGCGTGGGGCTCGCCGGCATTGACGACGGCGGCGGCGGCGGCCCGGCGGGGCTGGCCTCTGGCCGGGGGTCATACACCGGCCGCGCGGGGCCCGGCGTCCCCCCTGGTCACCAACGGCGGCGTGTATGCGACAGCGTCGCAGGTCATGGCTCCCAGGGCCATGTCGCTGGTCCATATGCGGGCATTCTCCTCGGCCGCCAAAAGCACGAGCACCAAAGTGGCCACGTCCGCCAAGTTTGCGAATTACGACGCCGAGTGCGCCGGGGCGCGGCTCTGCCGGGCCATCGAGGCCGGGGAGGAGCCCCTGCCGCAGGGGTTCGACGATGTGGCGCACTTCCGGCTGTTCCTGCGGCTTGTCGGGGACCCCCGGGCAGATCGGCCCCTGGCAGAGTTGGGCCCGATGGGCCGGTTGCTGGGGATGGACCGGGCATCGGTGCAGAGTCTGCTGGGGCATTATGGCCGGGAGTTTGGCATTGCGCCGGCCCGGCGATCGCGGCATGTTCCCCTGGCCGGGGTGGGCCCGGGGCATGCGGTCTTCGAGGATCTGATGGACCTGGTCCGGCGGGATCCGCCGGTGCTGCCGCCGCTGGTGCTGCCGCGACTGATGCGCTTGCCGTTGAAGCAAGTGGAGGAACTGCTGGAGGAGCATGCGCCGGAGATCCTGGCCAAACCATTGTGGGATCGGAGCATGTGCATCGGCCGGCTGGGGCACCTGCTGACCGTGGATCCCCCCCTGTCGAGGGGGGCAATGGCCTTGCTCCTTTCGACCGATTTGGTATCCTTGACTAAGGCCATCAACAGGCACTTCCCGGAGCATGGGGATGTGATGGTGTCGCATTTGCCAGCCCCAAAGATGGAAGCCCTGCGAGGGGCATTGGTGGCAGGGCTGCAGAAGGTGCCGGTGCCCTCGCTGTGGGCGATCCACGAATCGTCAGGTGTGACTCCTCCGTCGATCACCCTGCACGGACCGGGCCTATGCCCGGAGTATATCGTCCATCTGCGGGGGGAGTTGCCGGCGGAGAAGGTGGCCCGGATGCGAGAGCTGTTGCAAGAACGCCGGCACAGTCTCCGGGACATGGCCAAGCAGTTGACGATACCGGCCGATCGACTCCGCTGGTACATCAGGTACTACGAGCCGGGGGTGGTGCTACCGTATTCCGACGGGCAGCCCGTGCGGCAACTTACCCGGCCGGGGGGTTTGGGCCGGCTGACGCTGGGCGAGTACACGCGGCGCTTCCTGCCGGCCACTTCGCCGGTGCACCAGGCCCCCCCGGGTGAAGGGTCGCCGGGGGGCGAAGGGACCCATGCGCTGGTCCGGCTATCGGCGGTCAATCGGCTGGTATACTTCGATCCGCAGGTGCATGGGTCCGGCCCGGGGACGCATGTGCAGCTGTTGGCGCTGCGGCTGAGTCGGGACCTGGAAGCCGAGGCCCGAGGTCTGGCTGGACTGCGGCCCATGCTGGCAGAGAGGGAAATGCGTGAATATTTGGGCATCCCCAAGATGACTTTGTTAAATACGATGCCCTCCTTCGGATGGCCCGAGGGCTTTTGGGATTCGCGACGGTCATTCCGGAAGTACGCCCTGGCGGATGAGGACATCCGGCGGCTGCGGCGGCTGGCGAAGCAGGTGCACCCGTCCGGCCGGCGGATGCGCTTCACGGTGCGGGAGCTGGCCGCGGATATGGGCCAGCATCCGGATGTGCTGTTCGGCATGCTGTACCGGTTTGCGCCGGAGTACTTCTTCCTGGCGCTGGGCCCGGGGGCCGGGTCCGGGCCGGGGGGGATGTACGTGCCGGAGGAGAAGCTGGCCGACCTGCTGGCGGCGGTGGAGGGGAAATACCCGCGGCCGGTGCTGCACCGGGTGGCGGCGGATCTGGGCTGCGCCCTGCCGCAGGTGGTGAATTCGCTGCAAGCGCACGCTGCTCGACAGGGCGTCCGGTTTACGACTCCGGACTACATGCGACACCCGGCCGCACGGGCCTTTCAAGTGGAGCAGGCGATGGTGGCACATCCCGGCGCATCCTTGTTCGGATTATGTGCTTCTGTCGATGGCCTGACGATTAATGATGCCTACGCTGCCCGGCCCTATATTTGCTTTGAGTAGAGATAAACAGC